CCAGACAAAACTTTAATCACGTCACTGGATGTTGCCACATTTACTACGTAGTATCATGTAAATAAAACAAAATTAAAAATTATGGCTGTCATTAATTTACAGAATGATTCCTTACATTTTTTCTATATTACAATAGAAAAATATGTATGTTGCCATTTATAAAAATAATGTTGACACCTTTTTAAGACATCAGGGATGAATATAAAAAATATTTTATAGCACATGAAGGAAGATACACATGTAACTAACAAAAGCCAAAAATAAAATTTCATAAAAATATTATTACTTAATGAGAATATGAATGGCTAGAGTTAAAACAATTAATCTATATACTCCACAATACCATCACATACGTTTAATGTATTTTAATTATTACTGAACATTATAAATAATCTTATAGAAACTATTGTGCATAAAAATTCTATAGAGTAAAATACTTTTAGAGAAGCAAGTTTATATTGTAAACTTTAAAAATGTAAATCAAATGGATCTATTTTCATATTTACATAATTAACTTACAAAACTATATAATTCATTATTTATTATCTTAGAACAAAATTAAAGACTTCAAATTTAAACCAGTTAAAATAAACAAATGAAGTATAAATTTATGATTCTGAATACATTTATAAAAAGCTAATCCAGTATTATACATATTTTCATTAACAATGTTAAACAAAATTTAATTTGATTAGTTAACTTTTGGAGTTAAGCATATGCATGAATGTATATTATTAGATTTTGAAAGAAGTTTTCATTAATTATTTTATAAATTACTAAACTATTTTGCTGTAACATCGATAACATAAAATAATATTTTAAGTATATTTGATTTTAGATGAAATTGAATTTTCTATTAAATTAATGTCAACATGTTAATTTTTATTTTTGATTTTAATAACTAGTTTATTAACAAACTACTCAATTGTTTATTAAACTTTATCGATAGTAGTTTCTTATGTAATAATTTTTATAATAAGTTGGTTTGAAAATTTTATAAATAATTTTAGTAAAAAAAAATTTGTTGTTTAAATAAAAAACTCAAGTAAAATTGTACTAACAAAATTATTTTTATTAATAAATTTAATGAATTTATCAAAGCTATTTTGAAATTTGAATTGTAATAATAATGTAGCACATTATATTTATTGGCAGTAAAATAACTTAAAATTATTCGTTATTTCAAAATGATGTCAAAAAATTACTTGAAATGATATTATTTATAAGATAAATAAAATTTGACAATTCACTATAAATTAAATACAAAAAAACAACATTTTAACAAATTTATATATTATATTATACAAATTTAATTTCCTAAATTAATATATATATATATATATATATAAATGATAATTAGTTTTATATTCTTCTATTTCCCGAACTTAACATGAACAGAGTGTGGGGACTCTCTGTAATATGTTAGGTAGTCAAAGATAGTTCTTGACTAGGCTAATGATGACTTATAAGAAAAAATTTCTACCCACTAGGCCAGACCGATCCTTACACACACACATATATATACACAATATACATTTATTGAATAAAATATACTAGAGATAATTTATGTTCAGGAATTATTATGAGATTAGTATCACCTTTATTTCAAAATCAATCTTAATTTATAGTTATGAACTTACGTTTGATATTAATTGACAAGTACAGATTTATAAGTTTAAAGTAACCTATAAATTTAGTAATTTTGTAAACATTTCAATTGGTGTTTTGAGTAATTCAATTCATTCAATTTCAGCATTCATATGTGTTTGAGTCTAGCAAATAAATTCAAACATTACGAAAGTTCGTAATACTCATTTTTTATAGTAACAAAATCATTTGTGTACTAACGAAAAATTCAAAATACCAACATTAATTAAAAGATAAAAAAAATTAAATTAATTAAGTAAAAAACATGTTGTAAATTTCATTCTTGCATTGTAAAAGTACCTTCGCAAATGAAGTTTTATGGCATCAATAATAAGTTGTTTTTTGTCACATAAATATATTTACCAATAAAAATAAGTGAAAATACAAGTCAATTTTATAATTGTTTACGTCGAGTAAAGATTTTTAAGTAAGCATCAATATCATCGATCCGTGTTTTTTCTCTTATTTAATTTTCAACAAAACTGAGCAAGAATATAATTGTATTCATTTAATAAAACACTTTTTACTTTAATTTTGTACCAGACTTAAAAAAATTAAAGTAAATATACAGAGTAATTGATTTGCCGATGACCACTAAATTATTCTTTAAATAATAATAATATTGAAAAACTATTTTTTAATTTCATTACTATTATTTATGTTTTGATGTATAAGCAATTACATAATTTTTAGGTATAATCTTTATTTCTTGTAAGGCTACTGACTTTATTTTTTTAAATAGCAACATTTATATTTAACTAGCCTATAACATGGAAAATACTAGTCTAATATAACTTTTGGACTAGTATTTAAATTAAAATTAATGAGTTGACGTAAAAAGTGGGTACTGCTATTTCTTTTACTAGATATTTCTTGGTCTCATTCTTCCTTTAGCCAAGGTATAAAAATATTCATAATTTCTGGTTTCAAAATTGTTATTGAATAATGATTCTCTTAATTAGACCATTTAAACGTTTAAGATGTTAAATATGTAAGTTGCCATTTAAAAATTTGAACTAAACAAAATTAAAAAAAAAATTTTTATGTAATAATTTTTTTGGAAGAAATTTAGTGGTCAACGATAAATCAATCACCGATATTCATTTATTAAAAATTAATGAATACTATGCGTTGGTTAAAAATATTTAGTATTTTCTTTATTCAGTGTTGTAGAAATTAATGAAGTTTAAACAAACATAATGCCAAAAATAATGTTAATGTTTACTATTGTTGCTGCTAGATACAAGTCTTAATAATTCCGTTTCTAAGTCATAACTCATTTTTTTTATAGTTATGTCTTTGTAGCTAGAGTAGTTTTTTTTAATTTTCTTATATAATAACAATTATTACAATGTACACAAATATGTTTAATTGAACTAATTGTTGTTTTCATTTGGACCTTTTTTATTTCAAAGATTAAAAATACTAATCAAGACAACATAAATATGATACTGTTTAAAAAAAATACTGTAAAATGTATGAAATTAAGTTAAAATAACACGCTAAGTGTGAAACTTAATATGCGTTTATTTTACACATATGAGCTGAGCCCTCCCTATAAAAAGATATTCTAAGATGTTAATACTCACTATAAAGAAACCTGACCGTCGTAAGTACGCCAATAAAGACCACACATGTTTTGTAGACTTATATTATTTCTTTAATTTACTGTTCAGTAATAATTATCTTTTTTAAATGTTTAAAAAGAAATTTAGTTTCATATCATGTGCATACACCATAAAATTATTGATATCTGTCCGAGAGTATTTAAAACTTCAAATTTATTTTAACTTTATGTAATGGTTTAACAAAAAGTTGACTACTTAAATAAATAGTAGCATAAATTATATAACCTTCATTGCATTATTTTACTATGTTAAGTATATGTTTTATTATTTATTTTTTATGAGTAATAAAGTAAATTTTTTTTCTTCAAAATTTTAAAATATTTGTTTTTAAGAGCTTTTTTTACAAAAAACTTGGATGGGTTGTTAGCATCTTTAGAATAAGTACTTATTGTATTACATATATTTTAAAACATAGTGTGTATATAGCGCTGTGTGTACAACTCGTACTGTGTATATTTATAACTCTACTGGGTCCATTGTATATATTAATGCTCGTAATTCTGTAAGTACATATCATAAAATTGTTAATGATCTATCAACATTTTTTGTATGTAAAGCTCTAAAAAAATTGGCTTTTTTGAAATGTTGAAAAAAACTTAAATAATTATTTTATTCTATTATCAATATCACATATTATCACGCATTTCTAGTCAATCCATAAATATTTATTCTTCATTTGATTTTACGATAAAGTATAATATAAAAACAGAAAATATATTTTATCAATGAATTTTTTAATTTAAATCTATTCTAAAATATATATATATATAATAAATTTTGAAAATTTCTGTGACATTTTTAAATTTTAGGTATACCTAAAGTTAATATATATAATCAAAATATCAAAGATTTTTAAATGAAGGATTACAAAAGAATCTCTTTAAACTAATAGATATTTACCAGAGGAATTAAAAACTCACGTTAGAACCATTTTTGTTCTGATTCCAGTTTCAGAATTTCTATAGTTAACATCGAATAAAGTGTTTAATGTCAGGTTTGAATATAAATTATTGCTTAGTTAAATTAAACACATTCTTTAGACAATTTTTTTTTGTTACAATAATTATAAAAAAAATGTCAAGTTTTTAATTTACTTAATATTTTTCTTTATTGCGCTACTGAAATAATACCAAAAACACAAAATATTTAAAATAACACTTAAACTTCGAACTGCAACATAAATTTTGTATTTAACTTATTGGTTTTCTGAAACGAATTTAAACTAATGTATGTATTTTTACAGCATTTAAAAAAAATGCAAATGCTAGAAGTTATGATCATTAGTAATTATATTTTTTCAAACTTCCACGCATTATATCTATATCTAAAATTTTCACGTTAGTTCTGTTGGAAAAGCCTGAGAAATTTTCTAATCCAATTCCCAAAATTGATAACTTATAAATCGTAGCTCTTTACTCATAACTAGTTCGATTTACTTTATTTTATAGTTAAATAATTATCGTAGTTTTACTTATATTATACAATAATATATATTATACAAAGTCAATAGTAGGTTTAAACTGAAATATTAATCAAATAAAAATTCTAATGCAAGCGTACGTACATTATTGTTAAGTTAAATAATAAATAGATATTTTAGCATAAGTATAATGTAGCGTATACAAGAGTCTTAAAAAATAAAAATGGTTATGTAGAAGAGATGTAATACCATTGGTCCTGACGTCATGGTGGGGAGGTATACTTCGGTATAAAGGGAGAATATCACCCCTCGAGTCTATCCGACGAGAACAAACTGGCCACTTTGAAAAGTTGTTGTTAACTGACGACTTCACTCTAAACACACCATTGTCACATTGTTTTTAGGCACTGAAGGATTTATACAGGTAAGTGACTTTTTTTACTATAATATTTTAAATTAATCAAGTATATAATCAAATATCCAGTGTTTGTGTTTAATAAATTCTAGTAAAATATAATTTTGTATTAAAAATCGAATTTAAGTCAATCAACAGGTAGTTAAACATACAGTCAGTTGAGATAATCTTCATTATTCAAATTACTAACCAATTTTGATCGATTACCTAGAGAAAAATTATTAAAAGATATTTACGGAAAAAGCTAAAGAGAGACTTGCTGTGTTACACTCGCTATTACTTAAATTCATTAAGTTTAGAAAACGAAGTACAAACAATTATTTTATTAAATTAAATTAAATTAGCTATAAAATATTTCTCTTAAAAAAAAAATTTAGCGTACAATTTTGATTGAAATTGTTTGATTCTTATTTATTATCTTTTTAGAACCTAAAGACAAATTTGTTAATTTGAAGAGCGTAGTTTATAATAATAATAAAATAAAAAACAATAATAATTTTTTAAGCATTAAAAATATTTTATTATACTATAATTATAGTTTTTTTATAATTTAACTTATTTATGGAAAGTATAAAATGATTCTAAGCCTAATTGCTCAATAACTACATGATAACAATTCAACTAAAACATATTTTGAGTTATTAAATTTCGTTTATTAATCTTTATAGGTAAAAAAATAACATTTTTAAGTGATTAATCAATAGATCTTATTGATTTAAAAGGATTTTTAATCTATAAAAAATTATTTGACAGTAACTATTATTTTACAAAAACTAAATGTAATTTTTAGGTTATTGAAAAATTTTTTTCCTATTAATTTATTTAATATTGTCCAGTAAAAAAGCTTATTATAAAATATAAATGATTGGCTACTAAGACAGAAGTATAAAAAATAATTTAGTATGGTAATAATAATAAATTTTTAATATATGTGTATATATGTATCACAGTATCTATATGACGTAAATTATAAATTGATTAACCTTAATATATTATCCATGTGACGATTGACGTTTTCATTAGTATGTGAAATGATTTTATTTCTTACAAACAAATGTCGACTAACGAAAAAAATCAAAAATTTACTAGAGAAAAGTACAAATTTATCTAAATGTTTGTATGCTACAATAAATAATAAATAATACAGTGCTTTATTAAACTTTTTTTCTATACGATAAATCGACTCATGTAAAACATTAATTTTGTAGTAAAATATTTTTTTTTCAATTAATTATCTCAAGATAGATAAAAATTTTTGAAACAAATATGTTATAAAATCTTTTCCATATGAATTAGAGAATATTGAATGTTATATATAATATATTATCTTTGAAATTAAAATACAAATATTACTTATTTATAGTTAACTAGACTATAAATATAAAGCATTTGTTTTAAATTATAAATCTTCTGTAAATTTTATTAGAGAAAATGTTTTTTTTTAATTTACGGTAGTTTTTATTTACACTTAAATTAATTTTAAAACATTGGTAAAGTTATACATAAAAATATATCGCGACTTTAAGAATAAATTTGAACAAACAACAATAAGTCGATAAAAATTATGTAGTGATACATAATTAATACTTTTTTCAAAATGTAATCAAGACAGCTTCAGAAACTCAAAAAGAAAACTAGCGATAATAATCATTTATAAGTGTTCAATTTGGTATACTTTGGCTTTTGGGGTTTTTATTGGAAATAACTAGACACTTCTTTTGGATAGAATTTTATAAGCGGATCTCAACTGTCTCCCAGAAACTATTTAAAAACATACTTATTAAAATGTCTACTGAATTAATGTCAAACATCGGTTACTACATTTCATCTAAAGTGTTTGCCTATTGTTATGAAAAGTTTTGAATTTTATTTTATTTATTTTTATACCTATATAACCATCAATAATACTCATTTTCTGATGACGTTATGCACTGATGTAACTCGATTCAAATATGTTCAGTCAAAAAATAAATTGATATTACATATCATTTTAAGTGTCTTTTTCTTCTTGTGCATACAAACTACTACATTTTTGATAAATATATATTAGAGTATAAATATAGACGGAAAAAACTAAATAATAAATCTATACAAATTTGATATAATTTTTTGAAAATCGAAAAATTTATAAAAATAAGCTATATTAAGATTTGATTATTTATTTTTATCATTAATTTCGATTTAAATTATTAAGTTTTATATCCTTCGAATTTATAGCCTTATGAATGGGCTAACTCTTTTTTATTAAATACAATAAAATATTCCTAGAAGACTAGAGTATTAAAATATATTTTCAAATGTTGATAAATGTTGTGTAATACATTTCTACTGATTTCTAAGAAAACAAAAACTTATTACTCCGTAAGATAATTGAATGAAAAAATAATACCGATGTACCATATCATAAAACTTTTCTTTTGAAAGTAATTAAGATATTGTTGCTCATAATTTATGTTGAAAAAATAAACTTTCATTAAAGTAAATTTTATAAAAAAAACTTCTAAATTCGTTTTGAAAATAAACACTAATGAATCTATCTATGATTCAATATGGTTAAATTAAAAAATTGTCCTCGTGTTTAAAAAACAAACTAAATTTTTTGTATAGACCTAACAGTTTATATATTATAGCATAAAAACAACGATATCCTATCCTTTTGATATACTTCATGGAAAGATTATTATTTTAAGTACACAATTTTTTTAGAAAACATTAAATCGATTACTTTTCATGCTAAGCTATAAGATAAATATACTTTCATTACTCATTACCAGTGTATTATATTATAAATAATATTACATTGTCTCGAGTGTTTTCTATAACTTATGCCTATAATTTTAAGTGTTGCTGATTAATCCTTCCAGTCGTTTCGTCGGCGACAAGTACTACGTAAGAAGAGTACAACTGTGTTAATTAAAATAAAACATACATCCAAAAGAAGTAATGAATCGTAAAATGTACACATCATAACATTGATCATATTACTTAACGTCACCATATTATTTACCACATACAAATCGATAATAAGTTGGCATATAAATAATTAATAGTTTGTTACTTAAACAAATATATATCAAAAGGCTCTAGGAACAGAAACTAGTAATTTAATTAGTCCGAGAAATTAGACAAAAAGGAAAATTAAGGACTTTGGTTATTATTCCAAAAGAAATAATCCAAGTGATGAAATAAATAATAAATTTTTTGACTATTACTAATATATATATATAAAAAAATAAATAAGCAGTTTTTAGGTAGAAAACTTTTCACATGTATTTAATCATAACGTAAATAATTTATTTTGAAAATCAATAATATAATTTTAAAACTCTAACAAAACGTAACAAAAAAAGTGAATAACCTGTATTTTCAAAGTTAATTATTTGATTTACGTTTTGCGTTTGTGAACAATAGTAGTTTTGAAATATTACAATAAAACTGTTGAAGCAAAATTGTTTTTGGGTTTTTAAAAATTGTCTATTAGTAATCTTCGATAATTAAAAACGTTAAGCAGCTAAAATAACACAATTATGTTACAAACATTTTCTGTGATAAAAAATCAAATAATTAAGCAAATAGTATGCAGTTTGATGACATTATTTTGATATCGTTCAGTAAAATAAAAAGATTTGAGTGAAATGAAACCGCTAGGACAAACTATACATGTTTATCATTTTCGTTGGTTTTATCATGGAATTGTAATACAATATGATCAGTATTCTTTATAGTCATAGACGGTAAAAGGGTTCCGGTATATCAGAGACACTTAAGTTTTTACAACAAAATCAATATAATACTTGTAAATAAATTATTGAGTACTACATTTGTCCTGGTCTATCTTTAAACTAAATGTATTAAGTTTGCTTACTAAAAAATCATCGTGTAGTACAAGAGTACTTTTATAAAAATTTATGTAATACAATTCTTCATATGTGTACACGTTAAAGTTTTTAAATACTTCGTTCAAATGTTTTGTTGACATACACATATTGATATTGATATAATACATATTATGTATCAATTTTTATATGATTCGTAGTGGAATTTTAATGACTTTTGATTTTCCTGGGAACTTTAAAATAAAATAAAAATTGATACAGTTCATGTATTATTTCATAATAATTAAAAATTATTTTTTAATTTTATTTATCATTAAATAACTCGTAATTATCATTAGTCCAGTAAAATATATTTTTTTCCTAATTTTCTGTTTACATTATTTACTTGATTGTGTTGTATTAGAGATATCATTTTATCAAGTTTTCTAGAAAAAAAATGTGATTATATTTATTCTCTTAGAATTTCGGTGTGATTTTCTCATAATAAGAAAAGCTTTACTAATATGTTAATTCCTCAAGTTGAGTTTATCTACAGCTTTACTTTACCTTCCATAACATTTGTGGTTTTCTTAAATATTAGTATATCGGATAAAAAAGGTCTAATTCTTGAATATCTTTTACAGAAAATTTTTTATATAGTACACAAAAGTATTTTTCTAAACTAATATTCTAAAAATTGTTTGATGGTCATCATTGTGAATTTTTACAATAAAATAAAATTAAAACTTGAACCTTTTTCAAGTATTATTTTTCCATATGTAGGATACTTATTAATAATATCATACATTTTTTTGACTTGTATAAATAAAGAAGTTCGTGTGTTTCTTTTTTATAAATAAAATAAAACTATAGTTATAGTGGTATCATGTTAAAAGTTGCTGTCAATAAAGTTTCCTTGATCATTATGACACTTAAGTGTGGGTTTAAAAAATGTATAACCAACACTTTAAAATAACATATAATTCCGTAGGCCAGTAAAACTAAATGTACTTGATCAAAGTTGTGCACATTTTGACGGCAAAAACGATTGAGAAAAATATCACATGAATCGAATGCGAAGCAACTGTCATTAGAATCCTGGAAAACGTTAACGGGATAATGGATCATAATATCGTAAAATTTATTTGGAGGGAAAAGTATCTTCAAGAGGCGGAATAATCCATCTAGTAAGCT